AAGTTAACCCTCATATAGTCATACATATTGATTTTCCTTGTGCAATAATTGCCATTGATAATAAAGTCTAATTATTAACTTTAGCTGAATAACGTACATTAATTAAAGTACGAAAAAACAGCAAAAACTGTATATTCAAGTATTTGAGGATATAATTGTTGTGTTGATGCAGCAAATTCTAAAACTATTTTATTCATTAAACAATCCGATAAACCAAGATGTGCAAGCAATCATGGTAATGTTGATGATTGTTTAGTACGTGCATATTATTCTGCAACAAGTTCAACAAGAATATTATCTGATGATGATATTATTGATGAACTATTAATCATTCTTTGTTCTTCATTAACATTTTCATTATTTAATGAATATGTATTTTCATTTGATCCTTGTAATAATGTATAAATACGTGCATGTATTTCATATAAACACCATATATCATTTTTAGGATATTGACCAATTATTAAAAGTCTTTCAAGACTAATTGATATAATTTTTTGTGTTAAATTATCATTTTGTATATTATTATTTAATTCTTCTATTATATAATTTATTTAAGTAAACATGATGTATATGCATGAAGATTAGTTAATTTATAATTGTATTCAATTAAACGTATATATAATTGATTATATTGTTTTGTTGTTTGTTGAAGTAATATACCAGATTTACATAAATTATAACTCATTAATAATATTATTAATTCATCAAATAAATCATATAAATATAATTAATGAAAATAAATCCGCAAGATATATAAATGAATCTATTAATTCATATTTTAATTGAATACAAAAATTATTTAAATTTTGTTGTTAACTAACGAACATATAGTTCAATTAGAATTTGTAATGAAGATGTTAAATCAAGACCATGAGAAGAAAATAACCTCTAAACTATATATTTTTAAAGGTGAATGCCAGCGAAGGAAATGTTTATACTCTAGTTTTCTGATTGATAGAAAATATTTCTTATATTTTAGACTTTATTAATAGAATACAAGTAATCAGCACATATGTGAAATTATTGATAAATACTAGATTTTTTGTTTGATGAAATTAATAC